TATTCCAGCACTTATTCATCAAGTATTACCACAGCATGAAGAATTATATCAAGAATACTAAAATCATTAAATGAATGAATGAGTCACATCTCTTACGCCTCGTGTTTTCCCAACATCAACCATAAAGCCATTTCCTCTTTTTCTTGGCATTCTTTTTCCATAATTTATGCCAGACTTCTGAAGATCTCTTGAAAAAGTTCTCAAACCTGGACACCTACTCAATCACTCCCAATGTCCTTACTAGGGGGATTTTGCTATTTCAGAGTCATATTACATATTACATATTTTCTACTATATAAAATATTTGAATTTATGGCTCATGGTTTAGTAAAATTGATTTTATCTTGTGATAATTTATAATTATTTCCTTTCAGTTGTTATGACTCACACCTCTAACATGTCGAGCTCCAAAGTGTGACTTCTTTGTATTGCTATCCCCATGGGCAAGAAAGTAGCTGAAGGACTGCCTTAGGACAACACCTTGAATTTCTTTAATTCATTCTGAACTTCTGATTCAAACTTAATACTAATATTTTCTTGCTTCACTATTGAAATAAGTTATTTAGCTCCTATTGAAAAATGTATTTCTCTCAACACAACCACAGAAAACTCTGATTCTCAAAATTTTATTTTCTGCTACATTAAAAAAATACAGTATTCAAACTGTCACAATGCTACACTGGTGTTTTCCAGCCTTGCCATCTGAAACCAGGTATTACATTGTCATCACCTGCTCTCTTAGCCATCATTTTTGCGATAGAATGGAGATGGTGATTGAGATAAGTAATGATCTTAATGATATGTATCAGTTGAGGGGCCTGGTGCCAGGGCTGATAATGAAACTGATTTCTTAGAGTTGAATGGATATTTAGAGTCAGAGTATATGTACATAAGAGAGTTTGTTTGCATACACAAATTTGCTAACCAACCTCTACCACTCTCCAACCTTAAGATTCTAATCTTTGTCTAGGATAACTTCACAGATATAGACAAAATAATCTGGTGGACAATAATTTTATATTTCTGCAGTTGTACCCTCCAAATAAGCAGATGTGATCCTGAAATAGAAGAGGATTCCTTACCTCTCTCTTCCATGGTTCCCAGAACATTCTCAATTAGCACCCAAGAAAATGGGGGAGGGGTTAATTTAGTTTGCAACTAGAGCTCGAGTATTACTATGTTTATAATTAAGGAAGTAATTGGGTAGGAGTTTGTTTCTGTGTGTATTAGTGATTAGATACAGCTTTCCAATCTCTGGGTCATTCATTTTGCAACACCACTTACTGTACTCTTTAAAAAAAAAAAAAATGTAATTTTTTACTTCTCTTCACACTGACAACTTTTTCTCCTCAGACCTTCTTATTCATCTTCTAAGACTCAAAAGATGTTACCTCTAACTAAAAGCTTTATTTGACTCTTCTAATTTGGTACTTTTTTCCATATATTCAGGTATCAATTTGTATGTTTTACTATTATTTCATTTAATAAGATGTTATAATAATTCTTCATGCATTTACACATGCAGCATGTGTTACTTGAAGATTATATTTAGGCCAGGGTTACTTAATCCAGATTCTCTACTACTTACACCTGTAACAATCAAACTAGTTGGCATTTACTTAAACACATTTCCAGGGACAGTGCCGTGTGCACTAACTTTTTTTTTTAAGATTTTATTTATTTGACAGAGAGAGACACAGCAAGAGAGGGAACACAAGCAGGGGGAGTGGGGGAGGGAGAAGCAGGCTTCCCGCGGAGCAGGGAGCCCGATGCGGGGCTTGATCCCAGGACCCTGGGATCATGACCTGAGCTGAAGGCAGAGGCTTAACGACTGAGCCACCCAGGCGCCCCTGCACTAACTCATTTAATGTCCTAAACAAAATGATCAAGTAGGTAGTCTTTTTATCCTCATTTCACAAGCAAGGAAACTGAGTCATATAAATGTTAACATATTCTACCCAAGAATAACAGTAAAGAAATGCCCCCCCTGATTTCTTAGTTCTGCAATATCTGTCACTACAATGTATATTCAGGTCTATTTCAATATTAGCAAAATAGGTAAGAATTTAAAAACAAATATGACCCACACTAGAAGAATTACATTAGTACAGAAGGAGATATAGGACAATCATTAAAATGGCATTTTAAAAGGATAATTTTAAACACAAGTAAATGTCCACATCTTAAGTGAAAAAAATACATTAAAATCAAAGACAATGTACTTTGCTCAGTATATATCAGGTACTCAATAGGAGTTTGCTAAATTATATTTTATCTCTAAATACAGAATATATTTAAAAAGATACAAAATTTAAAAGATTTGAAAAGGGATAAACCTGCTAATGGCTAACATTTAAGTATTTCCTAAGATGCAGTTTTTATATAACTCTTTCCAGAAATTACCACCTGGATATTACATAGATCTTTGCTATAAAGCTAATTCCCAGATAATAATGTATAAATGTATGAGAAATGCAAATACTAATATAGAAATGTGGCAGAATGTCTCCATCTCCCCCATCCTCACTGGTGTATTTGAAAATTCAAGCTTTGTATTAAAAAAATTGGAAAGCATTCAAATTATAAGCTCAAGATCAAGAACTATTTTCAAAAAAAAAAATTCAATGCAACTTAGCATTTTGGAAAATATAAAAACCTAAAAGCTACCACAGGCTATGTTTGAAGGTATTTTTAAAAATTTGTACTTCTGTGGGTTATGATTCTCTGAAGTTCTGACACTTCAAAACATGAAATAACTAGTTGCATAGGTGTTAATATCTTAAGATTAATATTATCATTGTTTTAAAGAAATAGCATTTGATTTCATTGGTTGACTTTAAGGGCTCTCTCCTCGTCGTGCTCCAATTTTTTTGATCGCAAATGCTAAGAATAATGTAGTAGTTCTATTTGTCGGGAAATATAATTAAAAACAAAATTTCCTCTCATCTCACAAAACCTCTCCACAAACATAAAAGAAACAATTTTATTATTGAATAAACCAGATTGTGATTTGCATCACAGGTAAACTGCTAAGAGATTTTAAAGACCAAAGTCTCACCCTTTTATATGGTCAATAAGATACAACTCATTATATGCATTCACAAGATAAACAATAACTAGTCCTCAACTCAGAGGACTCACCAGCACCATTTGTCAAAAAAACTTACTCTAAATGTACTCGGTAACTGGAGTGACCATTTGTGTCACTTAATTGGCTTTAAATTTCTCCTATCTAGTATAAGAGGGAGTTCTACAACTTGGCACCCATGGACATTAGGCTCCTATCTCCCACAACAACTGGGAGATAGAGGTGCTATTTCAAAGAAATGGTTCCCAGGTCCTTGAGCATGGCATTTCTGGGTCTTAAAGCTGGCAAGAGACTTAATTCACTTTTAAAAGATGTAATACATTTCAAAGAGATGAAAAAATTAAGAATTACAAGTTTTCTACAGTAAATGCTCTAAGAAAAGGAAATCACCTTCCTTATTTTCAACAAGAATTAAGATTTTGAATTTGTATTTGTCCTTATTTAAAAAATACATATAAACATGGTAAAGTTAGCAAAAATACTAAGGCAATTAACCAAATAAAGTCAGATTATAGTTAATACCAAAAAAAAACCTAGTTGAGTCTTCAGTTCACCTGATTGCTGTCATTACTTAATGAGTATACTAAAAAAGCACTCAACTCTTCAATTAAGTCTGCTTGTACACGGCAAAAACCATCGAAATAAACCTTTGCATGATTTTTGAAGAGCATTGAGTGAAATTTTTCCAGGAATAATAAAATTTCCTTGTTTTGAAATTTATCTGCAAAAATGCTCTGTTGATATCAACACTATTGACTGTAGTATAATTACCTAATTAAAACTAAGCAAATTGACCTACCAAATGCCTAGAACACTGTAAATCTCAAAAAACTAAAAATGAAACATGTTGTTGATATGGCCAATAAAATTAATCTGCACATAGAAGAAAACAATATTCAATGAGCCTTAAATTAAGTAATCATTTGACAGGATTTTTAATTTCTGTATGGTTTATATTTCATGGTTAATTTAGCTTTATTATTTTAAACCAGGTTCATTTTCAAACTCATGTGTTCCTATTTGATAAAATGTCTGTAGTAGGACCATGGAAATAAAAAGCAAGCCTCTAATTTCCTTTTACAATCTTCAAATTAGCAAAGCTGCTCATAAACCCTGCTGCACAGGGTGCAGTATTTCAGTTAGCAATAGATATGTACCTGTCAGCTGGTACTCAGTAATGAAAAAGGCTGCCCAAGTAATGTTGTCATCAGGAGATTTGAAAAATCCAAAACACCAAATGGAATACCGCAGTGATGGAGAAACAACAAGCATGCGCTGGTAAGCGAGGCATTCAGTACAAGGAAAGCTTAACAGTACATAATGCAAATAGCCCAGAAGTGAATAATGCATATCAAGGGATTTCCAGTTTCCAAACTGCACATAAGGAGCTTAGAAATCACCACCTATCCAAACAAATAAAAAGCTCTGAAGACTGGAAAGTCCACAATGTAGGATCCATAAAGGAGGTGAGGACACAAGGCAAACTGTTGCCCCCCAGACTGGAAAGACAGACAGGCATACTGTTAGGGGGGCTGGTGACCTGGGCAGCAAAGAACTGCAGAGAGTAGAGCAACAAGCAGGACAGAGTTGATTCACCCTCCAAGGGAGGAGAGGGGCCAGACGTCAAGAGAGATGTCGCCGGGAGTTTCTGGCAGGCTGGGCCTTTTAAAAGGTTTTGCAGGATGTGAGAGGGTTACAGCTGTACCCATGATGGGGGTGTGGGGACGGGGTCGAAGAGAAGAATTAGGTTTTGTAGTTGGGGTCTACTTTCCAAGAATGTAGGGCACTGTGACCTAGAAAAACAAAGAGTTAGGGCCGAGTGCAGACCCCCATGAGTTTTGTCTGCAAGTATGGCTGGGCAGGGGAAGCTCTGAACAGATTCCTTTCACAAATACAGGGAGTCACGGCTTACCTTCCTGGAGCACGGACTCACCAGCGGACACCTCCACGGGAACCAGTGCTGGAAAACTTGAACTGTAATCGAAGAATTAACCGCATGCTCAGAGTGAATAGCTCTGAGAGAGAAAACCTGCAGAGGGAACTCAGTCATAGAAGACCCTCCACAGTTCCGTGAGATTTTCCTCCGGGAGCCACACCAGGTTCTCACAATAAATACTGGAGAAAAATCCGCCCTACCCCCACCCCGTGCTTTGGGTAGGGGGAGAGGGAAAGAAACTATTTTGAAATACACCAGAGCATTCTGTTCTTCTTAACAGGGCCTGCCTTCAGGAGAAGCTAGTTAACCAGAACCTCCCCTGCAGCTGAATTTTATCAGAGCCTAACTGACCTGAGGGAAGGGAAATCCCCAACTCCAGCCCACTCTAGACATTCTCTCCTGCCAAAAGTGGGAGGGGGGATAAAAACCCAAGGGATAAGAATCTCAAAGTGATGGGACGCCTGGGGGGGCTCAGTCGGTTAAGCAGCTGCCTTCCCCTCGGGTCAAGATCTGGGAGTCCTGGGATCCAGCCCCACATTGCCTCCCTGCTGAGCGGGTATCCTGCTTCCCCCTCTGCCTGCTGCTCCCCCTGCTTGTGCTCTCTCACTCTCTCTCTGACAAATAAATAAAATCTTTAAAAAAAAAAAAAGAAGAAGAAGAATCTCAGAATGAAAGGACCAGTTTCATGCCTGTAAGACTCTGAGAACCACTGCAAGAAGATGTCCTGTGAAGGATCTAAGACTTGGGATTGTTTCAAAATATTCACGAGCCACCCGCTGACCTGCACAATCCTTCTGAGATTGTTAAACAGATTACTTCCATTAGCACTGAACCAGGAGTGGAAGTTGAAGTCACCAATGCAGATGCTTAAATTAACCTTTTTAATAACTTTATTATCAGTTGTTAAAAAAAAAACAACTGAAAAACACTTGAATACTTCTGATGTTCACAGAACAGAGACAAGGGCTCACTAAAAACCTGTAATTAAACCCTTGCACTACGGAATGCCTCCCCTCCATTCACACCTCACCACCACATTACTAAAATACTATTTATAACATTCCTTTTACCCAATATATCATTTCTGCCTTTCAAGAAAAAATTGCAAGGCATACCAAACAGCAAAAACACAATTGAAAAGACAGCAAGCGTCTGAACCAGAAGTGGGGGGATGTCGCAATTATCAGACCAGGGAATTTAAAACAACTATGATTAACATGATAAGGGCTCGAATAGATAATCAGCATGCAAGAACAAATGAGCAATGAAAGCAGAAGAAATGGAAAATCTAAGAAAGAACCAAAAAGATACGGGAGATAAAAATCATAACAAAAATGAAGATTGATTTTAGTGGGCTTAGTAGGCTGAGCACAGCTGAGGGAAGAGTCTCTGAGCTTCAGAATATCTCCTTAGAAACCTTCAAAACTAAAAAGCAAATAAAACAAAGACTGAAAAACAAAAATAAAACCAGAACCTGTCCCTGTGTGGGACAACTACAAAAGAAGCAACGACAACATATGCCTAATGGGAATCCCAAAAGGGAAGAGAGAAAATAAGAGAAGAAATATTTGAAATAATAATGACAGAATTTCCGAAATTCATGTTAAACACCAAACCACAGTTTCAGGAAGCACAAAGAACACTAAGCAGGAAAACTGCCCAGAAAAACAACAGCGAGTCATGTTATTTTTCAAACTCCATAAAATAAAAAAATAAAGAACAAATCTTAAACGATACAAGAGGAAAAAACCTTAACCACAGAGAAATAAAGATTAGAATTATATCCAACCCCTCAGAAACAATGCATATAAGAGATTGGAGTGGAACATTTAATGTTAAGAGAAAAACAAAAACAGAGTTCTGTACACTGCAAAATTATCCTTTAAAAATGAAAGAGAGGGGCACCTGGGTGGCTCAGTTGGTTAAGCATCTGTCTTTGGCCCAGGTCATGATCCTGGGGGTCCTGGGACTGAGTCATGCTTCTGGCTTCCAGCTCTGCGGGGACTCTGCTTCTCCCTCTCCCTCCCTCTCCCACCGCTCCTCCCCCCTGCTCGTGCTCTCTCTCATTCTCTCTCAGATGAATAAATAAAATCTTTTTAAAAAATGTTAAGTTTCTTAGAAAAATCAATCATGAAAAGAATAATTGATAAGATGGGCGTCAATAAAATTTAAAAATTCTACTCTGTGGAAAACAAAGTTAAGAAAATAAGAAGACAGGGCGCCTGGGTGGCTCAGTTGGTTAAGCGACTGCCTTCGGCTCAGGTCATGATCCTGGAGTCCCAGGATCAAGTCCCGCATCGGGCTCCCTGCTCAGCGGGGAGTCTGCTTCTCCCTCTGATCCTCCCCCTCTCATGCTCTCTGTCTCCCATTCTCTCTCTCAGATAAATAAATAAAATCTTTAAAAAAAAAGAAAAGAAAATAGGAAGACAGGCCACTGATTGGGATAAAATATTTGCAAAAAAACACATCTGATAAAGGACTGTTATTGAAAATAAACAAAGAACACTTAAAACTCAACAAGAAGAAAAAAAAAAAGAATTAAAAAACAGGCCAAAGGCCTTAACAGCCCCCAAAAACATTAACAGATGACAAATAAAATGCTCCATATTCTAAGTCATCAGGGAAATGCAGATTAAAACAGCAATGTGTTGCCAACATACACCTAGTAGATTGGCCAATATCAAGAACACTGAAGACATTCAAGTGCTGGCAGGGATGTATAGCAACAGGAACTCTCACTCATTGCCAGTGGGAATGCAAAATGGTACAGCCACTTTGGAGAACAGTTTGGTAGTTTTTTAACAAAATTAACATACTCTGCCATATGATCCAGCAATTGTATTGCTTGGTATTTACCCAAAGAAGTTGAAAATTTATGTCCATGCAAAAACCTACACACAGATGTCCATAGCAGCTATATTCATAATCATCAAAACTTGGAAGCAACCAAAATGTCCTTCAGCAGGTGAGTGGATAAATAAATTGTGGAATATCTAGACAATGGAATATTATCAACATTAAAAATAAACAAGCTATCAAGCCATGGAAAGACATTGAGGAACCTTAAATGTGTATTGCTACGTGAAAGGAACCAATCTGGAAAAGCTATAATACTGTATGATTCCAAAGAAAGGACATTCTGGAAAAGTCAAAACTATGGAGATAGTAAAAAGATCAGTGGTTTCCAGGATTTGAGGGTTGTGCGAGGGATGAATAGGAGGAGCACAGAGGAGTTTTCAGGCAGTGAAAGTACTCTGTATAATACTATAATAATGGATAGATGTCATTATCCATAAGTCCAAACCCATATCATGTACAATAGCATGAGCGAACATAATGTAAACTATGAATTTTGGGTGATTACAGTGTGCCATTGTAAGATCATCAATTGTAATAAATGCTCCCCTCTGATAGATGTTGATAATTGAGGAGGTTCTACATGCGTGTGGGCAGAAGTTATACGGGAAATCTCTGTACTTTTCTCTCAATTTTGCTGTGACCCTAACACTGCTCTAAATAAATAGTCTTTAAAATATAAAATGTGTCAAAGATAGAATTTTGAGAGTCCTATATGAATAAAAACACAGTAGGATTTTTCAGTAAAATAGTCATAGAAACAGGGATTCAGCAATTTTAAGGATGAAGATGTAAGGACGAGGTTCAAATTCTCATGGACAGAAAGCTACTTTAGGAACAAAGACAAGGATGTAACGTTCAATCTAATGCAAATAATAGAAAAGTCTTGGAACCAAGTTAAGACTCCAGTGACAAAGCTGAGTTATTAAACTACTGACAATATGAGCCACTTGGTCTCTGTTTCTTCTCTGTGTTTGAAATTCTGCCAGCGATGAGGGCAGGGCAATATCTTAGGTAAGTGTGAAAGGGTTCTTGTTTGTATTATGGTCAAAATAGTGCACAGATAAAACCAGAAAGCACATCATGAGAGGTTATATGTATAATGTTAATACAATAATTTATTCAAAAGTACAGCAGATAAAATTTATAGAGTTACATAACTCTTAAGTATTGAAGTGTTCAAATTATGTGTCAGAGTTCTCGCATGTGAAATAAAAAGACACATATTAACCTAATTAATCTCTTTGTGCTTCATCTACTATCACTCTGAAATAGGATATTAGCAAAAAGCTAATTTATAAGGTTTTGTAAGTATTAAATGAATAAAATATGTAAACTGTTATATATATATATACACGCATGGATAGTGTGTGCCATTATTACTAAATTGACATATTAATTGCATCTCAATAAAAAACTGACAAATATTTTTTGCTAAAAGAGATGTGATTAAAGAGGTTGCATTTGAAAAGAAAAGCATGCTTTGCTTTCTCAATTTACAATAAACAATGAAAATGTATCTATCATTCTTAGAAATAATTAAAACCATACCATCAAGTTACTGAATCTTCTATTAAAATGTACATATGCCTAATTTAAAATTTGAATATCTTAAAAACATGTGCTTTTTAATATGTATTCTTTTAGACATTAGTCATTTATTTAAAATGTTTCTGCTTGAAGTATAGTTATTTTCACATGTAGTCATTTTTCAATGGCCAAAGCAAAATGGGAATACACAGACATCCTGTTAAATATTAATGAAATGAACAATTTGAATAACAATAAAATATGAGTTACCTGAATTTGCAATGGATCTTCTAAAACTGTATTATTTTCATATAGAATTAAGTGTTGCTTTTCTTTAATCTCTCACTTTTCTCAAATGCATTAATTTTTTAAAAATAAAAGTGCCAGCTCAGAGCCCCACTTTAACACCAAGTGAAAAATCAGCTTTGAAAAAAATCTGACTCACCAATGTTTCCTATTAGGTAGCAGTTCTTCAACATTTTATTACTTCTAAATTGCAGTTTTTTAAAGATGTTCGTAATTGAAATCTTGACCAGGTGTTAAACGTACCCAGAAAAATGATTCTGAAATTACTATAAACATGTTATCAGTCAACTAGACTAATTAATAATGTTAACTACAGATCTTTTATGAAATTAATTAAAAGATTCTCATATTCACCCTATTAAGTTGATTTCAACTCTTCCTATTACAATACGCATTTATAATTCTGGAGTAAATAGTATAAACTAAATTTTATAAAGAAATAATGCAAAATTTTGTGTGTAATAACCTCACATTATTCTAAATGACACTTGCAAATA